CGCCCACGTGAAGGGGCAGCGCAAGGAGGTGGAGGTGTTCAAGTCGGAGGATGCACTCGGGCTCACCATCACAGACAATGGGGCTGGCTACGCCTTCATCAAGGTGCCTGGGGAGACGGGGCACCTCGGAGGCCTGGGAGTGAGGGTGGGCCACGGGACCCTGGAAACCAAGGCAGAGCCCCAAGGGCTGATGGCTCGCCATCCCCGCAGCGCATCAAGGAGGGCAGCGTGATCGACCACATCCACCTCATCAGCGTGGGCGACATGATCGAGGCCATTAACGGGCAGAGCCTGCTGGGCTGCCGGCACTACGAGGTGGCCCGGCTGCTCAAGGAGCTGCCCCGAGGCCGTACCTTCACGCTGAAGCTCACGGAGCCTCGCAAGGCCTTCGGTGAGGAGCTGCCCCCTGCACCTCCCCAATGGCGCTGCTCGCACGAGCGCAGGCGGTGGTGCCGGGAGCGGCCAGCAGGTGGCGCCCGAGCCTGGCCAGCGGAAAGGGAAGTGGGTGCAGCTCCTCCCGGTCCCGAGACGAGGTGCTGGTCCTTGGCCCAGCCGGAGAGAAGGGCGGGGGCAAGGAGGAAGGTGTCCTCACCCCGGCCAGCCCCCACCCCCAACAGGCCAGACTTGGCCGCTCAGTACCAGCCCCCCCACTTTTCCATCTGGCTTCACTAACTCTAAGGAATGGGCCCCAGGCCCCTGAGATGGGGGTGGGGGACTGAATCACTTCCCCGGGCAGGTAGGGCTGGTCTGTGACCCAGGAGCCATACCCCCTTGGCCAAGAGGAGACGGACTCAGGCAGCTGGAGACTCAGGCTGGGGTACACCCGCTTCCTGTCCCAGCCCCTGGGAACAGAAGTGGCCCCTCCAGTCTCCCCTCTAGCATTTCCTATTCCTGGCCCCCAGCTGTCCCCCCTGCTCTGCCCCACATCCATGCCAGGCCTGAGTCAGGATTCCTGCCCTGGCCCCAGCCCCCAGGAACTTGCAGAAGCTTGGAGAAGTTTGGGGTGGTGTCGAAAGCCAGGAGGGCCAAGTTCCTGCCCAGAGCGTGCTAAAACCGAGCTTCCCCCACACGCACCCCTCTCCTACCTCCCACAGACATGATCAGCCAACGCTCAGCGGGTGGCCGCCCTGGCTCCGGCCCACAACTGGGCACTGGCCGAGGGACCCTGCGGCTCCGATCCCGGGGCCCTGCCACGGTGGAGGATCTGGTGAGTGCTCCAGCTGGACCCTATCTCCAGCATTCCTTCCCTTTCTTTTTCTTGAGACAGAGTCTCACTGTTGTCACCCAGGCTGGAGTGTAGTAGCGCGATCTCGGCTCACTGCAACCTCAGCCTCGCAGGTTCAAGCGATTCTCCATGATTCTCCTGCCTCAGCCTCCCAAGTAGCTGGGACTACAGGTGTCCGCCACCATGCCCGGCTGATTTTTGTATTTTTAGCAGAGACGGGGTTTCACCGTGTTAGCCAGGCTGGTCTCGAACTCCTGGCCTCAGGTGATCCAGCCTCCTTGGCCTCCCAAAGTGCTGGGATTATAGGCATGAGCCACCACCCCCAGCCCTCCCTTCCTTTTCATAATAGGCAGCATTACCTGTTAGCTGAGGGGACTCTGGGCAGACAGCCTGGATTCTAGTCCACTTCTGCCACTTCCCAGCTCCCAGGGACCTTCCTTGAGCACGTGGGCCTCAGTTTGCCCATCAGTAAAATGGGGATGAGATGAACACCGATACCTTCTTCTCAGGGTTGTCCTGAGGTCTCAATAGGAATATATGTAAAGTGGTGACAAGGGCGGTCAGTGCAATTACAATGTATATTCACATTGTTATGATGTTGCTGTCACCCCTCCTGGCCCCCAGCCCTCCGCCTTTGAAGAGAAGGCCATTGAGAAGGTGGATGACCTGCTGGAGAGTTACATGGGTATCAGGGACACAGAGTTGGGTAAGTGAGGGCTGCCTGCGGGGGCATGGGGGGCGGCATCTAGGTCTGGTGCTGGCTGAATCCACCCTGAGTCCCTTGGTCCCTGGTGTCATTTGTGCCTCCATTCTGCCCCCTCCGCCAATAGCGGCCACCATGGTGGAGCTGGGAAAGGACAAAAGGAACCCGGATGAGCTGGCTGAGGCCCTGGACGAACGGCTGGGTGACTTTGCCTTCCCTGACGAATTCGTCTTTGACGTCTGGGGCGCCATCGGGGACGCCAAAGTCGGCCGCTACTAGGACTCCCCCCGGACCCTGCGATGATGACCCGGGCCCAACCTGGTGGGGGCCCCCAGCAGGGACACTGACATCAGGACTCAAGCCTCTAGCCTGAGCCTAGCTCAGCAGCCCAAGGAGGATGGGGAGGGGAGGTGGGGCCGGGCCCCCTGCCCCGCTCCAATCGGTACCATCCCCTCCCCGGTTCCCAATCTGTCCGGGGTCCCCGGCCCCCCTGTGCCCTGTTCCCCACCTACCTCAGCCGGGTCAGGCACGGGGAGGGGAGGGATCGGCCAAATTGGGCGGCCACCCCCGCCTCCACCACTTTCCACCATCAGCTGCCAAACTGGTCCCTCCGTCTCCCTGGGGCCTTGGGTTCTGCTCGGGGGTCATGACCTTCCTAGTTTCCTGACGCAGGGAATATAGGGGAGAGGGTTGTCCCTCCCCCCAGCAAATGCAATAATGCCCTCGCCCCTCCTGAGAGGAGCCCCCTCCCCGTGGAGCCTGTTACCTCCGCATTTGACATGAGTCTGCTGTGAACCCCCCAACCTCCTCCCCAACTCCCATCTCCCCCTCCAGGCCTATCCCTGGCCCAGAGCAGGAGGGAGGGAGGGACGACGGCGGTGGGCTTTTGTATCTGAATTTGCTGTCTTGAACATAAAGAATCTATCTGCTGTTGGACCTGCGTGGCTTCGGGGTGGGAGAGGGGGAGGGTCGGGGCTGAGAAAGAATTCAGCAGCTGAAATCCATCTTCCGCAGGCTCCAAATTGAATTAGGAGCTGGCACCAGGCCGCCTGCCCCCTCCCACTGTTCCTTCTGGCTGCAGGCCACCAGGCTTCCAGGCAGGGCCAGAGCTTCCTGGACTACTGAGGGTTCAAATCCTGCCCCCTCTCCCACAAGGCCTCCCGCCCCCTGGAGCTTCACAAGGCTGCCGTCTGCAGCCAGTGACAACCCCTGGACTGGGGGGAGTACCAGGGCATTGAAACTTGGCTTGGAAATAGATGGAACCTCAGGCCTGCCAGAGCCCCACCCCTACACCGGGAAGTTGGGGGCAGACACGATGCAGCCCCCACCCCACGCGGCCCAATGCTGGACATGCAGGCGTCCATGGGGCACCCTGCTTACTAAACCCAGCATACTTGTTTTGGCAACCCACTCATCTTCGAGGATTGAGGGTGATCAGGGAAAGGCGGGGTGGAACCCTGGCCAGACCTGGAGACAAGGGAAGGGATTGAAGCAAGGGGTGCTGGGCCACAGGGCCCCACAGGAATGTTTGGGGGTGAGCCGAGAGGCTGTGGGGAAGTCTGAGGCCAGCTTGCAATCCTCATTCCAATAGGCGGGCTGGCACTGGGCCACCAGGAAGAGGGGAAGGGGGGAAAAAGGGAAGACCCTCGGGGCTGGGTGTTGGTGTGCAGACCCGGGTGGAGTAGGGGACCCACTGTCCTGGTGACTCGGGGCAGACCTGAGCACCTGTGGGCTCCTTGGGTGTCTGTGCTGGGAGCCGGCTGTGGTGGTGAAGGGGTGTGGCTGTGTGCGTCTCGGGGGTGCGTCTTATCAGAGTGTTGATGGCTCGTGACGCGGTGAGGGAGGGCTGTGTTGTGGGTGAGGGATGTGATCACTGGCTCTGTGTTCCAGGGCAACCGCAGGTGTAACTGGCAGTGTCTGGTGGTGGGGAGTGCAATGGAGTGACTGTGTCAGGGTGTCTTGGGATGTGGGTGTGTGTGTCTTAGGGTGCTGCTGTTTCTGGGGCAAGGAGGGGTGCCTGGCTAGGTCTCGGGGTGTTCAGGGGTGTTAGGGTATGTCTCAGGGTATTGCTGTTTCCTGGGTGGGGGTTCTGGCTAGGTCTCGAGGTGTCTAGGGATGCAGGTGTGTATGTCTCAGGGCGTTGCTGTTTTGGGGTGAGGGTGGGGGTGGCCAGCTAGGTCTCTGGTGTCCAGGGGCAGGGGGTGTCACTTCTTGTGCCTTAGGTGTACGGAGTGTGCCGGTGGGGCCTATCTGGGATTGTTGGGGGGTCATTACAAGTCATACAGAATGTGACCAGGGGCAGTTTTGGCAGTGTGTGTGTGTGTGTGTGCGCGCGCGCGCACGTGTATCTGTCTCTCGATGCCAAGTGAGACCCTATTTCCCAGCACTAAGGAGGGTGATGTGGGTGGTCATCTCAGAGGGCTGCATTTTGGGGTGTTGAGGGGAGGGGCTGGGATTGAGGTAGTAACTCTGGGTGTGTCCCGGCGCTGGGGGTAAGACCCTGAGTTCAGGGATGTGGTGGCAGCAACCTGGCTGTGCTGAGATGGGGACAGGATGAAACTGAGTGGTAAGTGACAGGATTGTCTTAGGGTGTGAGACTGTGCCAGCGTGACCCTACTTCTCAGGGCAGGAGGCGAGTCTTTGTGGCTTAGGACGTGTGTCCCAGGTGTCACTCAGCCCATCTTAAAGCAGGAGCCAGACACTGGGGAGAGTCCCCAGGTCGCCAGGCCTCCTGGTTCCCCTGCCCCCTTTCAGCCGCCTCCTCTCGCCTCCCAGGATATGACTCGCTGTGGCCCTAGCCGGGGCTTAAGCCCCTATATAAATAGTAGGCGGATCCCCTGGCCAGGCTGGGCCTGACCCAAGCCAGTCTGCCCAAGGCCCTGCCCACCAGCACCCACCCCAATGTCCATGAAGGCTTTAGCAGGGCAGGGGGGCATTGCTGCCCCCAAAGAATTGGAGTTAGCCCCCCAGTCCCAAAGCTCTAGGGAGGGGGGCAGTGGCACCCCCTGCAGCTGCCCCAGCCTGCCCCAGACGACACTCACATTTTCCAGTGTTTAGATTTTATCCACTTTATTAATGAGGCAAGAGGCCCGAGCCTCCGGGGAAGGGGGCTACTCCCGCCCTGCTGGGAGGAGGGGGTCACAGGGGGCCAGAACGACTCCAGGGAGCCTCCCTCCTCATGGAGGGAGCCGCTGGGGCCCAGAGTGGCCCCCATCCATTGCCAGGAGCAGAGAGGGGGGTCCCTGCCACTCCAGGCCCCAAGCGGGCGTGCGCGGGGTGGAGCGGCCCCTGGAGGCCAGCAAGGGCGGCGGGAGGAGCCGAGGAGCCGCCCCAGGAAGAGGGAGGGAGGAAGCGGCCTGCCGGAGAGCCAGGGCGCAGTGGGCAGCAGGGCTGAGCGGCCGGTGATGGGGACCCCGCATCCCAGGCAGTGCTGGGTAAGCGGGTTGCACGTGAGGGTGTCTGGCTGGGGAGGAGGAGGGCATGAAGGGTTGGGGCCATGGCCACCTGTCTGTCCATCCTGTGTCCCTGAGCTCTTCCCCCCAATCTGTGTGTCCCTGTCTTATCGTCTGTCCATCCTCCCTTCCCATCTGGCCTGGTGGACGGTTCCGCCCTTTCCACCCTCACCACCAGGATATCAAAGAGTGGATGGTCATGGCCTCTGGGGGCAGGGACATGGAGTGGAACCGTGGGCAGCCAGGGTGAGGCAGAGGTGATCGCGGTGGGGCGTGGAGAGAGACCGCAGTGGATCAGAGGCAGGTCCATGGGGCAGGGGTAGAGATGCGTCCATGGTACAGATGTAGCTGTGCCATGTGGGGTCGGAGATGGGTCCATGGGGGACAGGGACATGGCCGTGGGGAGAGATGTGCCCATGGTGGTAGAGATGGGGCTGGGGAATCTCGAGGATGGGACTGGAGTAAAGCTGACATGGGGAAAGTCAGGTAGGACCACAGGGGCAGAAATGGGTGAGAGCTATCAGATGGAGCCACAGGCCCCAGGAATTTGCTACGGTGTAAAAATGGAAGGTGGGGGTCAGAGGGGGATCTGTGAGGCCCAGAGGCACTGGCAGAGATGCCTGAGGGCAGGGCTTGGGCGAATCTTGCAGGAAACCATGAAGGGCAGAGAAGGGGCCAGTGGGGACAGAGGGAGGCCCTGGAGCAGGAGATGGGGCGGTGAGAGGCAAAAGAGAGGGAGGAGGGTTTCCAAATGGAGTGGCCAGGTCATTTGGAGTTGCCATGGGCAGAGGGGCTGCCTGAGAACGCCATGGAGTCAAACGGGCCTGATGTTCTGAGATGGCACCGTGGGCTGGTCCCCGCCCGGGCCCAGCCAGCCTCACTCTGCCCTCTTCTCCTCTACCCAGCACTCCCGGCGCCTGACATGAGCCCTTGCGGGCCCCTCAACTTGAGCCTGGCGGGCGAGGCGACCACATGCGCGGCGCCCTGGGTCCCCAACGCGTCGGCCGTGCCGCCGTCGGGCGCTTCGCCTGCGCTGCCCATCTTCTCCATGACGCTGGGCGCCGTGTCCAACCTGCTGGCGCTGGCGCTGCTGGCGCAGGCCGCGGGCCGCCTGCGACGCCGCCGCTCGGCCGCCACCTTCCTGCTGTTCGTGGCCAGCCTGCTGGCCACCGACCTGGCAGGCCACGTGATCCCGGGCGCGCTAGTGCTGCGCCTGTACACTGCGGGGCGCGCTCCGGCCGGCGGGGCCTGCCACTTCCTGGGCGGCTGCATGGTTTTCTTCGGCCTGTGCCCGCTGCTGCTGGGCTGCGGCATGGCGGTGGAGCGCTGCGTGGGCGTCACGCGGCCGCTGCTCCACGCCGCTCGGGTCTCGGTCTCCCGCGCGCGCCTGGCGCTGGCCGCGGTAGCTGCGGTGGCCTTAGCCGTCGCGCTGCTACCGCTGGCGCGCGTGGGCCGCTACGAGCTGCAGTACCCGGGCACGTGGTGCTTCATCGGCCTGGGTCCCTCGGGCGGCTGGCGCCAGGCACTGCTCGCCGGCCTCTTCGCCGGCCTCGGCCTGGTCGCTCTCCTCGCCGCGCTGGTGTGCAACACGCTCAGCGGCCTGGCCCTGCTACGCGCCCGCTGGCGACGCCGCTCCCGAGGGCCTCCCCCGGCCTCGGGCCCCGACAGCCGGCGTCGCTGGGGGGCGCGCGGACCCCGCTCGGCCTCCGCCTCGTCCGCCTCATCCATCGCTTCAGCCTCCACAGCCTTTGGCGGCTCCCAGAGCCGCGGCTCGGCACGCAGAGCTCGCACCCACGACGTGGAGATGGTGGGCCAGCTTGTCGGTATCATGGTGGTGTCGTGCATCTGCTGGAGCCCAATGCTGGTGAGGGACGCACCGGCCCCTCGAGCCACGCTCCTTCCCGCTCCCTCTCAACACCCTCCGCCCTTCGTCGTCCCAGGACACCTTGGGCCTCCGTCCTGGACCCAACCAAGGCCCCGGCCCCTAGAGGCCCCATCCCACCTGCCCCAAAAGCCAGCATGGCCTTCTCCATCTGACCTGCCATCCTTCCTCCTAGCCCCCCTCTCTTCTTCCTTTTTGGGGTCTTTGTAGCGCACCCCGACCCACACAAGCCTCCTCTCCTGCCCAACCATTATAAGCCCCCGCGCTTCATTCCCTAGTCCTTTCACCCAACCCCCTCGTTTTTCCTCTTTCCGGGACACCTGAGACTCCTCTCCGGCCGGAGCCCCCACCCACTGAAGGTGTTTGTTTCTTTGCCTCCCTCCTTTTTTTCCCGCATCCCCTTCCCACCTGGATCCCCATTTACCCTGCCTGCGACGGCTCGCCCCTCCTCCCAGGCTTTTACCTTCCAACCACGCCCCCACCATCCCTGCGCCCCCCTGCGCCTGCGCCCGCCAAACGGCTCACACCGGCTTCCCCCGCAGGTGTTGGTGGCGCTGGCCGTCGGGGGCTGGAGTTCTACCTCCCTGCAGCGGCCACTGTTCCTGGCCGTGCGCCTTGCCTCCTGGAACCAGATCCTGGACCCTTGGGTGTACATCCTGCTGCGCCAGGCCGTGCTGCGCCAACTGCTTCGCTTCCTGCCCCCGAGGGCCGGGGCCAAGGGCGGCCCCGCGGGGCTGGGCCTAACCCCGAGCGCCTGGGAGGCCAGCTCGCTGCGCAGCTCCCGGCACAGCGGCCTCAGCTACTTCTAAGCACAACCGGAGGCCCAACGAAGCCAGCCCACCCTGGGGCCGGGCCCAGGTGCGCGGCGAAGAGCCTTTGAGGAATAAAAAGCCATTCTACGAGCCCAGACAGAGCGGTGAGTCCCGTCGGGGCTTCGGCATCCACTGGGGCCGCGCAAGGGGCAGCAGAGGCGCCAAGTGCGCTTCCAGGGTGGGTGCAGTTCCGGGGCCTACCACAAGATGGCGCGGAGACACCGGGGCGCGGTTCTAGGAGGCTCGAGGGTGCCTGACCGTGGGCGCCGGAGCCGCAGGAGCAAGCGCACCGTGCGGGCGGCGGGGGCTGGGGCTCCGCTGGGAGCAGAGCGAGAGGGTGTGGGGGGCGTTTCCTGACCTTGCCACCGCCCTAACGGACTTCCGAAACCATTCTGCTCACTGTGGCTTTGAGTTCTTCCAATACAGCCCCAAAACCCTGTCCCCAAACCATTTTGCCCCATGTCCCTGGGCGCCCCCAACACAATACCGACCCCCTCCCATCTCAGCTTACCCACGCTCCCCCCCATAAGAACAGCTCCGAGTCCACGCCGCCCCTTGATCCTCTTCAAATGACACCCCCATCACTGGAGACTCCCACGACCAACCAGCCACCTGCCCCCCAAACTTCCACACCTCCAAGCACACCCCCACCGCCAATGACTGCACACAAGAAGACACGCAAGATGCATGGATCAGGCAAATCCCAAAGGCCTTTTTAAAAACTAACAGCTCTCGGGCAGGGGTAGGGGCAGGGGAGGGGGCTAGCAGCCCCCCGCCACGAAGTCGAAGTCCAGGAAGGCCGCCTGCTCCGCGGCTGTGAGGGGCCGCGCGTCACGGGGCGGGCTCAGTGTGGGGGCCTCCCCGGTGAACTCCTCGTCAAAGTTGCTGACGTCGGTGCGGCCAGACAGCGTGGGCACAAAAGGCGGCGGCAGGCGCCGGGCCAACAGGGCTTCCCAGCCCAGAGTCTGCAGGGGAGGGAAGCGGAGGGGAGGGTCAGCCTGGAAGGCTGAGGAGGGGGCGTGCTGCAGTGGGGACCAGTCCTAGGGCTTGGAGACCCCGGAGAGGAGTCATCATATAGGGAAAAGTGGGGTGGGGGTACTGGGGCTCAGGAGGGATCACCTGCGATAGCCTGGTGGAGAAGCGGGATTAGGAGACAGTGGAGGCCAGGCGTGGTAGCTCACATCTGTAATCCCAGAACTTTGGGAGGCTGAGGTGGGAGGATCACTTGAGGCCAGGAGTTCAAGACCAGCCTGGCCAAAGTGGCAAAATCCCATCTCTACTAAAAATACAAAAATTAGCCAGCTGTGGTGGAGTGGTGTGTGCCTGTAATCCCAGCTACTCAGAAGGCTGAGGTAGGAGAATCGCATGAATCTGGGAGGCGGAGGTTGCAGTGGGCCGAGATTGAGCCACTGCATTCCAGCCTGGGCAACAGAGTGAGATCCTGGCTCAAAAAAAAAAAAAAAAAAAAAAAAAAAGAGGCGGAGGAAAGTGGAGATGTGGGATTAGGAGGGTCCCTGGGGGGAACAAAAGTGGAGGAGGGAAATCGGGGTGTCAAAGGAGGTGACGATGTTGCCCTGGAGGTGCAACGAGGCCTTCAAGGCAAAGCGGCTAGGCCTGGGGGGCGTCGGGTGTGGGGTGATGAATCGGCCCCGGGGGGAGGGCCGGGGTCACTGAGGTCCTTGTGGGGAACCTCACCCTGAAGAAAGGCTGTTTCTTCACATCTTCTGCATCTCTCTCGCTAGATCCCAGCCTCCGCTCTGGGTTCCTCCGCAGCAGCTTGGAGGAAGGAGCACTGTGTCAGGATCTGTCCCCTTCTGGGCCCCAGTGCCCCTCCCCAGGCCTGCCCCACGTCGGGGGTCCTCACCCTTCTCATGATGCCGATGGCTTCGGCGGACAGGAAGCGGGGGTAGCGGACCTCATCGTTGACGATGCTATCGAAGACCTCCTCCTCGTCATCCCCTGGGAATGGGGACTGGGGAGAGGGAGGCCCGGGGTGAATGGGGCCTCTCCTCTGGCTGCTCCAAACCCAGCCCGGCCTGCTGCAGCTCTTGGGTGCTGGCTAACTCGGGCAGGGAAATGTCCCATTTTATAGAGGTGGAAACTGAGGCCAGGGACACAGAGCCAGCAGCCCTCAATCACACAGCACTTGGTGGAGGCAGACTTGGATCCCACCCTAGGGCACACGCAGTTTCCAGTGAGATCCGAGACACACAGGGGTGGGGTCTCACCTCGCCAACCAGCATCTCGTAGAGCAGCACACCCAGCCCCCACCAGTCCACAGCCCGCGTGTATGAAGTGTCCGTCAGCACCTCAGGGGCCAGGAACTCCGGGGTCCCACAAAATGTGCTGGTCCGGTCCCCATAGCCCATCCCTGGGGACAGCAAGGCCATGTGAGGTTATGGGGGCCAGAGGAGTCACTCAGCCCAATGTGGGGTTGTCCACACAGCCAGTCCTGTCCCAGGGTCAGGGTGGGGGGTACCCCAAGTAGGGTTAGGGACCCCATTCCTTCCCCCTCCTTTGTCTAATCCCGAGGCCAGTCCCTCACCCTCCTTGCAGAGGCCAAAGTCTGTGATCTTGACGTAGCCCTCGGTGTCCAGAAGCAAATTGTCCAACTTCAGGTCCCTGTTGGGGGTTGGGGGGTGGAAAGAGGGATGAGCGGGGGTCTGGGCCCTGTCCCCACAACGGGCAGTGTGCACATGCATGCGCGCGCACACACACACCTGTAGACAATCTTGTGTTCATGAAGAAACTGTAGGCCCAGCACCACGCAGGCGGAATAAAAGCTGCAGAGAGAGAGGCTGCTGAGGGGTGGGGCCACCCTGCAAGCAGGGAGGGTCACATAAGCCTGGCTCCCACATCCTCAAAAGCCCCCCAGTCTCCCCAAAGCTCTGGGAGGCTGGGGGAAGCAAGGCCTGAGGGTGGAGGGGTGAGAAGCAGGCTGCCAGCCTCTCGGGGGGGACTGAAATGTCAGATGCTGTGGAGAGAGGCGGGGCCCGGGCTGGGGGGCCAGGCTCACACGGCACGGGGCTCAGAGAACACGTCGCTGTGGATGTGAAGCATCAGGTCCCCACCGGCCGAGTACTCCATCACGAAGCACACGTGCTCCGGTGTCTGGAAACAGCCAAAGAGGTTCACCAGGAAGGGATGTCCCGCATTGGTCACTGCCGCCAAGATCCGCTTCTCACACATCAGGCTGGGGAGGGGTGGGGGACAGAAGTCAGAGACCATGGCCGCCGCTTACCCCCGACTGCCAGACGGCAAGCAAAGCCCATACAGAGGGAAGCAGAACTGAGAAATGTCATCTCAGCACCTGGATACAGCCATGCCTGAAGGCAGCACACTCCTGGACTTTTCTGATGCAGACCAATACATTTCTTTACTTGTTTCTGAGTTGGGTTCCTGATTATCAAAAGAATGCTGGGAAGACCAAGGACAATCTCAGTGCCTGTACCGAATGTTTAGAGGGGTTAGGCACTGTAGACAGCACCTGACAACCGTGTGTGTGGAAGGCAGCAGCACTCTGCTTCTCCACATCAAGAGGGGTTCTTTTTTTTTTTTTTGAGACAGTCAAGCTGGAGTGCAGTGGCGCGATCTTGGCTCACTGCAACCTCTGCCTCCTGGGTTCAAGTGATTCTCCTGCCTCAGCCTCCCAAATAGGTGGGACTACAGAGGCCCGCTACCACGCCCGGCTGATTTTTGTATTTTTAGTACAGACGGGGTTTCACCATGTTGGCCAGGCTGGTCTCGATGTCCTGACCTTGGGTGATCCATGCACCTCGGCCTCCCAAAGTGCTGGGATTACAGGCGTGAGCCACAGTGCCTGGCAAAGAGGCTGAGGTTCTGAAGGGAGAAGTGACCTCCCCAGGATCTCCAAGCCCACGCTGCAGATGTGAGATTTGAACCCAGGATCCTGTCCCCAAAGCAGAGGCAGTATGTTTGCACCACAAAGGGCACAGGCTTCAGAACCTGAGTCTCTAGCTTTGAATCCTGGACCTGCTGCTTACTGGCTGTGTGACCTTGGGTAAATTGCTCAACCTCTCTGTGCCATCAGTATTTACCTTATAGGGCAACATGGAGGAACAAATGAGTAACTTTTATAAGAGCTATTATTATCTTGGTATTAGGCTAGTAGGTATTAGTGACTCTTTATTTGTTCTGAGACAGGGTCTCACTGTGTTGCCCAGGCTGGAGTGCAGCGGTGTGATCTCAGCTCACTGCAACCTTGACCTACTGGGCTCAGGTGATCCTCCTATCTCAGCCTCATGAGTAGCTGGGGCTACAAGCACGTACCACCACACTCAGCTAATTATTTTGTATGTTTTGTAAAGATGGGGGTGTCGCCATGTTGCCCAGCCTGGTCTTGAAATTCTGAGCCCAAGTGATCCACCTGCCTCGGCCTCCCAGAGTGCTGGGGTTACAGGCGAGAGCCACCGTGCCTGGCATTAGTGACCACTATGAGTCACTCTCCCTGCAGCTCCAAGGAGAGAACTGCTCTGTCATTTCCCAAAAGAGAAGACAGAGGTCCCCAGAGGACCACGGCAGGTCCCCACCTCTCCACCTCGTCTCGGGCCACAATGTCCCCTTTCTTCAGAGCCTTGATGGCGAACAGCTCCCCACTGGGCCGGAATTCGGAGAGCAGCACCTGGAACCACAGTGAGCAGGGGTGGTTTTAGTGGCCAGCCAGGGACCTGGCGGGGGTCTCCCAATTCCCTGCCCTCCACCTCACCTTCCCAAAGTGACCCCGGCCCAGCACCGCCAGGAACTTGAAATCCTCAAGGGTCAGAGGTGACTTCCTCAGAGGGCTGTGGAGAGAGGCCACTGGTGAGGACAAGGACAGCAGGCAGGGGTGGGTGGTGGGCAGGGGGCCGGGGAGTGGTGTCACCTGCACAGGGCGGGGCCTGGGGTCTCCTGGGTCTCCGAAGGCAGCTTGGGAGTGATGGAGGATTCCTGGATCGGGGAGCTCTGTGGCGGAGAAGAGGCCAGAGTAAGGGGAGTCAGAGATGCTCTCATAACCACAACAGCCTCTGAGGCCCTGCAAGATCTGCCCCCCACCTCTCTGTCCTCACCTCTCCTCCCATGCGGCCCCTCACTCAC